CTCTCTCTCTCTCTCTCTCTCTCTCTCACACACACACACACACACACACACACTGCCCCGCTATCTATACACTATTTTGCTGAGCCTGGGGCTTCAGCCACCGGTCCTGTGTACAGTGCCAGCCAGCCATTCGCTGTTGGTCACTATGGGCTGCTTGCGTATAGGTACAGTTTTCAGTGGAGTTTGGAGGAAGCAGCACTATGCGCTACTTATCAGCTGTCATCACCACAAGTGCACGGAACTCGGGTAATTGTCTTGCTGGTTGCCATTCCTCCGAGTCAGAGATGGGACCCACAGGCCTTCTGAGAACACAGTGGCTTGCAAAAGCTATGGCATCAGAAGCAGCGCAAGGTAGCGGTCCTGTCCTTCGTCTTCCTGCGGGTTAGAATGGGAGCCAACCTGCCTGACCTGAGAAAATTGGATGACCAGATGAGCTGATGCCTGCGCACAATCTGTCCATTGAATTCACAACAGCGAGACGCACAAATGTTTGCACAAGAAAACAGGAGTGAGATGCCATTACATAATTCCACTTGTTATCAAGGCCACATGCAATGTGCCCATTTAAAATTAAAATAATGATAGTAATAGTATCAGTTATTAACGATAACAAAAGGAGAGACAAAAGAAAATATAGCGTTCAAACATAAAGGCCATGTGAGCTTTTCATGTATTTCAGCTGGCTGCTGACTCACCTCAGCAAGGTAACCCTACCTCATCAGGCAAATTTTCATTCATGGGCGGTGTGCAAATGCATCCGAGATGATTCAGAAAAACAAAAAAAAGTCAACGCGTACGTAAACACAATCACGATACAATCATACAAGGCAGAATCATCTTAAGTCGATCCCACTTTGGGGCCTCATTATCCTTTTACTGCTGGGTTGACGATTCAACCCCCAAATTGGCGGCAGGACCCAGCAAGAACTTGTGGCTGTGTACAAGGATGCCACAAGAAAGGTTCAGCGTAAAACACCTAAGAGGGGGGATGTTACATGCTGAGCCTGTACACGTGCCCCGTTTCAGGGGCATGACGTTTGCTGGGGGGCCCCAGGCCGCACGCTTTTTCAGGCATAAGCCCTGGAGGCCCACGGCCAGCCCTAAGGGCCGCAGGATTCGAATCGAGGCAGCATTCATTTATTTATTTGCGGTCCTATTTTTGTCTGATCAGGGGTCGTTTCAGACTCACGATGTCCGGACCTAGGCCACAGTCTGGGCCTCCTTCAAGCCTGGGCCCTTTGAGGCCAGGTTCGGTTTCGTCCGCTAGCAGGACGTTCCCTGCTGCATCAGCAGGAGGAAGGTCTAGACGCCAGGTACGTACCAAGACAGTGTGGGCCGTTTCAGGCCAGGGGCGCACCGGCGGGGCCCAGCGCTATACAGAGCTGGGCCAGGCCAGGGCTCACACAGTTCGAGTAGGTCACTTTTTGGGCGACACGGCGCTGCGCTAGAGGTAGAGGCGTAGGTAGGAGGTGAGGTGGAGGCCATACCTGCACCGACGGTACTTACCTGGTCGCCATAGCTGTGCTCCACGCCAGCAACCTGCACAGGGACACCAACGGCGGTGAGTACATGGCGGCAGTTACCTGCAGGTGAGACAGCAAGGAGGACGGCATCTTCTCCTTCTTCTGTGTCTCGCCCTCCATCTCTTCTTCCTCCTTCCTCCTCTTCTTCATCTTCTTCTTCTTCTTCTTCACACACACACACACACACACACACAGAGAGAGAGAGAGAGAGAGAGAGAGAGAGAGAGAGAGAGAGAGAGAGA